CTAACATGGGCGTAAGCAAGTTTTATTTGATGAAATTACAGATAACACTCACTGGATAAACTCCTCCGGAGAGAGCTTTGCCCAGTATCACCAAATCCGGGCGAACACCTTCGTGGTCGACGGCCAGGCGCCGGCCAGTCCGTGCCAGGCCAGTCTGGACCTCATCAGCGATCCACAGGACCTGCAAAACCCACAAGGGGTTTTTAGTGACTGCAGAAACACTGCAGTGATGTTGTCGCAGTCAACACGGTTATGATCAGTTTTTAATGCACCAGTAAGATCACCTAAGGGCATTTCACACTAAACCACAGCCAAGAATTTCCTGTCAGCAAGTAGTTGTTGGCAACAGTTTGGAAATGGACAAAAGGATAAAAGTCATTCCAGGGCTTGAGACGGAGATGCAGCTAATAACTTTCTTTGAGCAAATACTTGTTGGCAACATCCTCGAAACAGCTCCAATTCAGATTTTATTGCAATTTGGGTCTCAGAAGTTCAAATCAGTCTCCCAGTAAATGAGTCTGCTCCTGAGGCCAGGAAGTACTATTACATGTTACGTTGCTAAGAAAGTTAATCTCTGTGCTTGCTGACACAGCTACAAAATATCCATCTGCAGCACTTCCCACACACAATGTTAGCTTTCTAGGGAAAGAACATGCTGTTATCACTGAAACACTCTCTTCTTAGAAGTATTTGCTTATCAAACTTTGATATTTCATTTACTTTAAAGTTAAAGAAGAGGGCATAATTTTCCATGCTCTCTTCTCATTTTCCATACTTATCCAAATCTGGGAAATAACATAAAATAATACTGTAGATTCTGTTTAGATCTTGCTAGTTGTAGTGCACTCTGACTTGTCCATCCTACATTCTCATGCTAATTGTAACAGCTGTGGAAGACACTGTACTATAGAAAAAAAATTTTGTTCGTTGGCATAAAGATGAAGGTTTTTATGACATCCTTGATTCTAACATCAACCAAGTCATTATGCTTTTTGGTTCTTGTGCCTTCATAGGGACTTACATTGTATTTTGTGCAAAGTTCTCTGACTTTGGTCAGGTAGCCATGGTCAGGCACAACCACGCCTGCTTCTCCTTGGATAGGTTCCACCATGAAAGCAGCAACATTTTTGTCTTGAAAAGCTTTCTAGAGAAAGGGAGGGGCAAAAACCAAGTTAAGATTTTTATACACATTCATCTGCGGAAAGTCTCAACTCAAAGTCAATGTTTCTCAACATTCTGCAAAACAAGTTAATCCTAAACTAAGCAGATGGGAACTGTATTTACACAAGCTAAGTTTTTCATGTAGCACAACCTTAAAAAAAAAAGGAAAAACAAATAGAACCTGTACCTCTAGTGCAGGTATGTTATTAAATGGGACAAGCTCAAAGCCAGGCATGTATGGCCCAAAACCCTCATAGCTACTGGGGTCAGTGGAGCTGGAGATGGCAGCCAAGGTGCGACCCCAGAAGTTTCCCTCTTAACAAAGAAAGAGAGCGAAATACAGCTTCAACAATAATCTCACCAAACTCTATAAACAAAATAAACTTGCTTACTGTGGTATTCTGGAAATATTTCAACATGGGATGACAACTTGCCTGCAAAAATGATCTTGGCCTGATTGTTTGGAACCCCCTTCACATTGTAGGCCCACTTCCTGGCAAGCTTACAGGCCGTCTCACCACCTTCAACCCCTAATTTCATACAATATAAACAGGAACACTTTTAGATTTTATGTCAAAGGAATTTGAAAGACCCATCCCAAGGTGGACTTCAGCACTCACCTGTATTCATGGGTAAAACTTTGTCATATCCAAACATGTTGGTGATGTACTCTTCGTAGGCTCCAAGAACGTCATTGTAGAATGCCCTGGAAGTCAAGGCGAGCGTAGACGCCTGCTTGGTGAGCGCAGAGACGATCTTAGGGTGGCAGTGACCCTGATTTACTGCACTGTATGCACTGAGGAAGTCGTAATATCGGTTGCCTTCCACATCCCACACATAGACGCCTTTAGTCCATAAAAAAAAAAAAAAAATTAGTAAAATTATTTCTTCTTTGATATGGATCAGCATTACTCATAGAAGATTTGCAATTTTTGGTCATGAACTTACCCTCGCCTCGCTCTAGGGCCACAGGGAGTGGATGGTAGTTGTGTGCCCCATGCTTCTCCTCACGGGCAAAGATTTCCTCCGAGGTGAGCTTGGTCTGGGTGGCAGGGTGTGGACGTGTATGGATGCTCCTGCGGAGAATCAGCCCAGCACGGCTCAGACTCCCAAGTTGAAAAATCATTCCTCTAATGGTTGCTGCTGTGTGGTTGGGCACAGAAAAAGAAAGGGGGAAAAAAAAGAGCTGTCATATCTAAAGCGATTGTGAAGTTACTCATTCAGTGGAAACTCATTTTAGGTTTTTGTAGCAAAATGCAAAATGTGATGTTTAAATTGTGCAAAAAGCAAATGAGACAGAAAGCAGTCTGCTTGGAACTGCTCTAGCATCTCTTACCGAAGGCAATTGCAAGTTCATCAATTAGTGAGATAAGAAACTGTGTGGATTTATTCTGAGGGAAGCTCCGACAAACCTTATTGTTATGCTACTTCCAAACATAACACTGTACATGTGTACTTATTAATTTACATCCAATGCCATATCAACAAAATTGACAATTGTGAATACTTTCCACATACACTTAACAGTCTTAAAACTGTAGCTTGTGTTAAGACTAGCACAGACTTGATGCAACTTTAACTCATCTGCTGATGCAGGTGAAACTTAACCTGTTTTTTTTTTCCATTAGCGACAGCTGCTTTGAAATTTCTTACAGGAATGGAAAGAAGGTCTTTGCATGCTTCCCATGCTAGCAATGCCTCTCAGCAGCATAATCTGATATATTGTCTCTGCTTTACGCTTAATTAAACATAGGCCCCAAGTAATTTGTTCAGCCCTGCAAACTCTGTGGTGTCAAGTTTAGTTTCCAGCAGATACAAGAAGCTAAAGGAAAGAGTCAGTTGACTGGTTAATCAAGGCTGAGTTGAGAGGAAATGACCAAAAATACCTTTGGGAAAGGAATAAAATAGTATGAACTAAAACATGATAATCAAAAACTTGTTGGCTGAGAGATTATTCTGGATATATTTCATTTTACAGTAGGGATGATCATTACTTTTAAATGAATTAATTAAATCATAGAGATTTCTACATATAGACAACCTATTTAACCAAACAGAAGTGGTTAAAAAAGTCCATCACATGAGTTTCCATAGATCACCGAGGATTTGCAGGTCTGCTGAGCCAAGCTTCTCTTTCATGTCCTATACAAAGGAAGAGACTTCCTTTGTTAACAAAAGCAGCAAAACTGCAGTTCCAGATTTTTCCATTTACACAGAAATGAAAAGTTTTCAACTCTGGTTTGAAAGAAAAAGAAGAAGAAGAAAAAAAAACTACTTGATTTGATAGTGTAACTTAGGAGATTTGGGAATCTTCCTGAACACAGTTGTGGAGAGCTGCAGTATCTAATGTGTGCCAGCCACCGACCTGTTGGCAGCCATGCTACCTCTTTTAAAGTGATGAAATCCACCTTTAAATGCAGACAGAGTTTGTAAATCAATGAGCTGAAACATCAGTAGAGCAAACATGCAGCTTCTACCCAGGAGTTGACCTGAGCCGGGGCTCATCCCTCTGTCCCTGACATCTGATAGGTTCCTGCCTCCACCGCACCCACCGGCCACGGTGCCAAGCTAAATAAAGAATTACATAATCATTTTCCACCTGTTACCACAAGCAACTCTTCGATCCTTAGCAACCGACCTGATATTACACAACACGGAGCATCTCTTGGTAAGGCAGAGCTGAAACAGCCTCGCCGAAAACTTAGCTGCCTGCATTTGATGTCAAAAAAAGGACAAAATGCGTTCAAAAATGAATGTCAACCGTATAAATAGCCGCGTCTCCTCCCGAGACTAATAATGCATTGATCATCAGTTGTTCTGTTTCTTTTTCCTGCTGGTCCCAATCGATATTTTAAACTCAGTCTATCAAAATGAAACCAAGAAGAAAACAGATTGAAAAATGTACCTCGTGTAAACAGAAAACAGCAGTTCAGAAACCCTCTTCGTTGACGCTCACTCAACCTGGTGAAAAATATGATGCGTGTGCTGTTCGGGTGCGGATTATTTGACTGCCCAAATAATCTTTGTGCGTGCTTACGTCAGTGGAGACGCACCGCCTCTTTTGTGCAATCTTAGCCGATGATTTCCCCAGTATACGCCATACCTAACTACCAGAATGAACCTTTTTTCCATAATATAATACATAAATAACTATTGTTAGACCCTGTTTATGCCACTTAATATTATTTATCTAACGACAGCCGGTAGTTACATGGGTAGGCCTAAGTATTATTTAACAATCTCGAAAATGATTCATTCGTGCCACATGCATACATGAAATCCCACGTGAGATTATAGAGTCCTATTAGAGCCAAAGAATGTGGATGAAATTCTACAGGCCAACTTTAATTTGAAAAGGTAGTAAAACAAAAATAAACTGCAATCAATGTAATAATAAAAAAAGTATTGTATTGTATAAAAACAAAATATAAGAATAGATCAATAAGCAACATAGAGTTAGGGTAAATCCAAAATAATCCTTGGTAATTTGTTCAAAATTCAACTGGGTTATGTAATCACTGCTTCAACTACACGATTGAAAATATTTTTAGAATTAAAATAAATGAAATAAAAGATGATTTTTTTTTCTCTGTCCAGGGTAGTCTGCCAACTACCATAAAACAATATAAGAATAAATATGTATACTATGGGTTTTAGTGGCTTTAACCATGGTGTATTTTTCTATATTCACACTTTTTGATTTACTTTTGTTTCTTTTATTCAACCTAAAGACAACATAGTTACATACATTTACTCTTTTGTATTTACAGATTTTTTTCTTTTAGTTTTCATGGCACTGTTGTAGTTCCATACAAGTTATATAAGCCACGTCACGGGTCACGCAGGCGCACTACACAGAACGTCATGGCTGACACAGGCTGGCCAGGCTGTGCGAAGAGTTTGAAAGGTGTTATTTTGGACTTGTGCGGAGTTTTGTATGACAGCGGGGAGGGAGACGGAGTTGCTATCCCAGGCTCCATAGAGGCTGTGAAAAGGTGAGTGTATGACTGTGTGTTTGTGGCGTTGTTTGAGCTTTTACATTTTACTTTGCAAAAGTTCATAGCGAAGAAATCGTGTCTGATTTATGACGGTAGCGCGCGTTTTCTTACGGCAAAGAAAGTCAAAAGTTGTGTGCATGTATGCGCTCTGCATTGATTTAGCCACTTATGCCAACAACACAAGAACTGTTCTTGTGACCTTCATGTCGCTTTTGCTTTTTTTTTTTATAGGCTCAAAGAATCAGACCTGCAGCTGCGTTTCTGCACCAATGAGACCCAGGCAACCAGAGAGAAGTTCGTAGCCAAACTGCAAAGACTGGGCTTTGACATTTCTGTATCTGAGGTCTTCCCTCCTGCCCCTGCAGCCATTACTGTTCTCAAGGAGCGGAGTTTGAGGCCCCACCTGCTGGTGCATGACGGTAATGCCCCTAAATGTCCTAAAATCCAGTGTGAAAAAAAAATCAGACTAAATAAATCTGTTCTGAGAAAATCTTAAGAGGTTGGAGATTGCATTTCTCCAACCATAACCCTGTCTTCATGGTGGCCAGTGGCGGTAGCAGCCTGATGCTATTCAGAGTTGATCCATACAGCTTCTCTTCAACTCTGATCAGCTTCCTAATGTGGAGTTATTAATCAGTCTAAATATTAATAAAGCAATAAAGAAAATAGTTATGTCAGTCTTTAAAAACAAATCCTCACTTGCTCATTCAAATGTGACTTTTTGTTCTTTTTCTTTCTTTTTTTTCAGGACTTCTCCCTGAGTTTGATGCTGTAGATAAGACCAACCCAAATTGTGTGATCATTGGAGATGCAGCTGAAAACTTCTCGTACCAGAACCTAAATGAGGCATTTAGGGTTTTGATAGGATTGGAAAAGCCAGTGTTATTCTCCCTTGGCCAGGGGTAATAAATTATTGTAGGTGCCAGATAAGACTGAATGTATTTCACAGATTTAGCCAAATGCTTATACTTCTTTTTTTCCGCTGCTTTCTTAGAAGATACTACAAGGAGACAGATGGGTTAAAACTAGATGTTGGTGTTTACATGAAGGCTCTTGAGGTATATTTTTTGTACTATTTGCTCAGTTTGGCAGTAAGAAATAATTCTATCACAATGCCATCTTACTTATAACCTGCACTTTCTATTCTTTTCTAGTATGCTTGTGATTTAAAAGCAGAAGTAATTGGGAAGCCATCACCAACGTTCTTCCAGAGTGTTCTCAGTGACATGGGACTGAAACCACATGAGGTACGTAACGAGAAATGACGCTGCATGTAGTCAGAGCACACTGACGAAAATTTGTCCTAAGAATTGCACTAATTTGTTGGGTCAAATTTGGCTTCAAATTTAAGAGGAATTTGATTTGACTGCCTCATAATCATATGGTTCCTACACAAAGTGATCAATTTCATTAGTCATTTCCTGATCTGGATAATTATGGGCATACATTCTTCAATTCATCCATTTGTTTATCCAGTTGTAAAATTTTCTATCCGCAAATTTGCTCATCCCTTTGTCAATCCGATCATCCATCTTTCTGTCCATACAGTTTATATGTCCATCTGTCTGTCCACCCTCCCACTACTCATAGATCTGTCATCTATTCACCTGTATTTTTCTTATCCATCCATCAATCTATTTTTTATCTGTCCATTCATTTGTTCTATTGCTATTTTAAAAATAACATTCTTCAGAAATCTTAAAATATTTACTCACAATGTCAGTACACAACATTGTGCAACCATTAAGCACTCACAGTTTATGTACCAATATTCTTCTTTTTTTTGCCACAATTTCAGGCTCTAATGATTGGAGATGACCTTGTAAACGATGTAGGAGGGGCCCAGTACTGTGGCATGAAAGGTGTGCAAGTCAGGACAGGCAAATACAGGTCAGTGATATTCTCAAGCCTGATAATTAATTTCGTTTCAGCCACAAATGGTGCAATGTGCAATATTTCCTGCTCCTTTGTATCTGGGTTTGTTTTTTGAAGTCTCCTCAAGTTGAAAAAGTTTTACAAATGTCAGACATCTTGCAAAAACACAACAGTCTATTTTTAGAAACTTATGCCCTTTTAAAGGAAAGAAAGGACCATATTTGGAGCAATGTGGTTTGAGAAGACAAATGTTTATTTTCCACCACATGATGGCGCACTTTGAACACATTTGTACATTGGAGTTTCCTCCACAAACCCTCCTGTGGCCCAGACGACCCTTTCTTAAATCTTCCAGATTTGTTTGTTTTAAGACTCTGCCAAAAATAGAGTTTATTCTCTCCCCCACGTTGACCGCAACTTTTGAGTCGCTGAGCGATTTATGGTCCCAACCTGGGGATTACTGTAAGGCTCCTCTTAGGGTGTCATCACATGGAGGTTATGGCCGATTATTTTTAATGGTAAATGCTGTGCTTATGGTTTGAAAGAAATAGAAACATTACTATGAGAATATGTTGATGCTTGTATGGAACTGCACATTATGGCATATCTGTTTTGTGTTCCAAATCATAAATCCAGATCTTTTTTTGTTTTGTATCTAAACCAGATTTCAATGTATATTTTAGCTCGGAAAGCCCTGGAATTTACCCTGAAGACAATTTTGGCACATTACTACAGGATTTTATGTGATAGGCCCTCTCAGAGTTGCTCATGTTAAGTAAAAGAAAATTATACATGGCTTTAATTATGTTTTATAAATAATAGTCAATACTTAGTAGAAAGTACTGACTTTGTAGAAAGGCCTTCAGAACGCTCTTTGGATTTATGTTGGGAATACATTTCTCACAGATGTACTCTTTTTATTAATTGAGTGACTTCTGAAGACACTTTTGTGCTTTTTATAGGAGCATCAGAATCAAGGGACTGTATTCCACACACTATATTTTCAGATTTTTGTGTTTATCTTATCAGTGAACTATTTCAATTCGTAGCTGTGCTCTATTTTATGTTGGTCCATAACATAAAATCTGAACGAAAGACATTAAAGTTTGCGGCTGCAATATAAAAAATTAAAGACTTCATCACAGGTACAGTGAAAGAAATATCACATGTTGTGCACTGTGAATTTGTTCATGCTCTGTCTAAAGTGAGCTAAGACCAAATTAAATCTATCAATAATCAGTGGTTGAAAGCCGTCTCGCCGAAATGGGGTCGCTACTATAATGTGTCTATCATGAACCAACACCTAACCTCAATTGGCCAGAATCAGAAAGCAATGTTTGCTCAGTGCAGCTGTAAACCAGCTGGGTTTTGCCGTGGCACGGCAGAACCTACTGCAGACTGCAGTCACGGCAGGTTTTTTTCTTTTGGTCATGATACCGAGACAACACTGAGTAATCTGCAAGAGCATCAGTCATTTTAATCCTGCAGTCAGAGAACAGTTTCTCACAACTCAAAAACTATATCTCACCTTTGTGCAGTTATTCTTGTGCATTTATGGGATATTTGGATTTGTCTGTTTATGCTTTGCAGTGCTTTTGTGTATTTTGCTAGCATGCACATGCATGTATAGTTATCCTACTTTGTGTTTGTGCCAGTATATGAGCTGGAAAGCCATCTTTGTATAGTGATTCAGCACGAGCTTAGGAGATGAGGCTATTCTGGGTGAAGCTCTCAGTGGAATAGGCTCAGTTCATGTGGTTTATGTTCCCCCACAATGTTGCTCTAACAGTTCAGTCAGTTGGGCCCAGAACACAGATACTCAGTCTGAAGAATGTCCGTCCCATATAAGCTAAACACAGGATAAAGATATTATATCACCACTTGACTCATCTCATTGTGTGGATGTAAGCAAGATGAATAGAGCAAAGTTTTACATTTCTGCTTAATAATTGTCACTTATTATGGTCACAAAAATAAATATTTCACTTCTTTTGTAAAACATTAAAAATATCTGCTTTCAGTATATGTCTGTGACTCAATTATAGTTTTCTTTCAAATTCCTGCTGGATACAGTAATGCCAATTCTTTATACAGAATTGCCATACTATATATTCTCAAATATTTCCAAATTGGAGGTTTTCAAAATGAGACTCAGAGATACTCATCAAAACAAAAATCTCAAGTCTCTAAGTTTAATTGAATGGATTTTTCTTTTAAAATGTTGGCACCTCTTTGTTAATGGATGAAAACTAGAAATGAAAAAGGGAGTAGGTTGGTCTTTCAAAATAAAAGAAAATCCACGATTGCAGTTTTTTTCTGTTAGTAATTTTACTAAACCAGTAATTAAAAAAGAATGTATTGTGTTGAAATTTCAACATAAAACTCACAGATAACAATAAAAAAGTTATATTTTATATAGTTATATAGATTGACTAAAGATTAAATATGTAGTGTCAAGTCTTTCCAAAAACCACATATTGTACATCATTTTCAAAATAAAAGTTCAGGTTTTTCTCAGAATACGTTAATGCAAATCTAAATTCCACATTTTGAGTAGGACAGAGAAAAATCACCCTGATGGCATTTCAAATCAAAACTCACACATCATGTTTTCATTGCTTGTTTGGGCGAAACAAGCCCAAGCGAGAGAAAAAAAAATTACTCGTTTTGGTATGCACCATGTAACAAGCACTATTAACTTATCTACTATTTTACTTTTACAGTGCATACAGCAATTACGACAACTTTAGGACATCTAAACAGTCATTTATGTCTTAAGCAGAACCAGCTCATAATATTTAAAGTCTCTCAAATGGCCAATTTTACGTACACAGTGTCTGAAAGAAATAAGAGTAACTGTGACAGTAATGGTGTTTCAGAGAGCCATGGGAGACGTGAAATTTAACATTGTTTAGGCAAACAGCCCGGGTGAACCCTGGCCTGCTCAGAGGAGCTATAAACCCTCAGTCAGATCTGTGAAAACACAGCTGTTTCCAAGTCAACCAGATGCTGCACAGACCTCCAATTCCCATCAGGTTTGAATGAAGGCAGCCTCAAAATACCCCAGACCCAGTGACGGGGCAGGAAGGTGAAAAGGATACAAATATTAGACAAATCAGACATAAGGGGCTATTGGAAAAACTGCGGCTGAGAAATGTTCCCTGGTTGGTTTCGTTTAAGATTTATGGCTAGAATGAATATATATAGTACCATTTAAACTTTTTGTCTCAACTCTTTTTTTCTTTTCAAATAAAAACCTGAAAAGTGTACATTGCAGTTGTATTCACTGCTTCAAAAATATAGCAAGCATTTAATTTTTCACATGTGGAAAACTTTTGGCAGATACCTACTGTTGAATTTTTGCTGTTGAGGAAATTGTAATAATGTTGACTAAAAGGATTACAGCGAATAATCTGTTTTTCCCCAAGTCTTTTCCTCAGTCTTTAAGTTTCCATACAGCATACATGCATGTTACATGCACCGTTACATTCTAAAAATAACGAGACTAAGGCCTTAGCAGAAATGAATCTTGATGTGTAGGCAGATCATAGGGATAATTGCAACAAAGCCGTTCTGCTAGTTCTCAACTTTTCCTGGGTCTGAAATAATGAGCTACAGTTAGTGCAATCCAAAAGAGCCCTTTGCTCTTTAATATAAAACAGATTTTCAGAGTGGGGCCTTTGAGTGAAATGTGGTTGGATTTTACATGAGGTGTGTGGGAAACCTGAGTACCGATGTTAATCAGCTGCATGGAGACAAATGTGCCAACAGCGTGCTCTGCTCCAACCTTTGTTCAACCTTTAGATTTTGTAGTTGAGTGTTGAGTTGCAGCCAGGGAGTTAGAGGTGTAGAAAATTTTTAACATTATATTCCCTGTGTAAACACTTGGGCAAAAAAAAAACGAAAAAAAAAAAAAAAACCAAACTCACAAGCGGCTCTTTTACGCCAACTCCAACTTTATCCCAGCACTGTTTTAGAGATGCTGTAAAAGCTGCAAGATTATGGCAGGTGGCGTCATCATTCAACTTTTTTAAAATAAAAGTGTGGTATGGATTTTTATTTAGTCTCCCTGAACAACAAACCTCCTTTTGGCTCGGATTACAGCTGCAACCCATTGGAGATATATTTTTGCCAGCTTTGTACACACAGATTCTCAATAATTCAAGCTCAGTCAGATTGGATGGGTGGGGTCTATAAACACAAATTTCAGAGTTTTTCCTTATATTCTTTGACTGAACCATTCTAATGCATGACTATAGTCATATAGGATGCTATTGAAAAGTTAACTTATTTCAGTCACTGGACTTACTAAATCACCATGCAGCTTTATTACACAAAGACTGGTGTTTTAAAGCCTTGGTTTCTGCTAATTGTTATGAATAATAAAGATATAACATTTAGGATTAAAATGTTAGATCAGACCAATAAAAAGATTAGCACAGGCATGTGGACTTAATGAAACGTCTGTATAACAGATGATTAAAAGTCATTTCTAAAATATGTTGTTAATCTGAATAACAAGTTTTGTCATAACCTTTATTCTAACTTAATGAATGTCTTTACAGTCACTTTGATTGAAACAATTTTATTTCAGCGCCGACTATGTGTTAAGGTTTATTCTTCTGCTAACAATTTAACCACCCTTCCAGTATGAACTATTTTATAGCGTCTCACTGTGTTTCTGACAGGACTGCCTTGTATTTGGCTCTATCAATATTCCATTAAACTGAGCAGCTTTCCTGTCCCAGCTGAAACCAGCCTCCCCACCACATGATGCTGCAACACTGTATTTTATCATAGGCATGTTTGGTGGCTTTCTTTCAAGAATTGCTTTCTTCTTACCACTCTTCATAAAGGTCCAATTTGGGGAGTGCACAAGTCCTTTCAACAGAATTCCCCACCTGAGCTATAGATTTCTGCTGCTCCTCCAGAGTAAAATAAGAATTAAACTAAATGGCCTCTTGGCTGCTTCTCTGGTTAATGCTGACCTCGACTGGTTTAGGTAGAGGTAGAAC